TGGGTAAGAATTTCTAGCATGCTAATGGAGAAACTGATTGATTCATAAAACTGCTAACCCAAGAGCAAGAAAAAAATAATTGATTACATGGGACTAAACCAACTAATAGAGATGATTATCATTTTTATGACATTGTTTGAAGCATTGCTGGTTCTTTAATGTTTTGCTTTCCAAATTTAAAGAACCCCCTTTCTGTTTTCTTTTAAACTACTATATAACTGGGGAGCCTGGGTGGCTCAGGTGGTTGAGCATCTGATTCCTGATTTTGGCTCAGGTCATGATCCCAGGGTCTTGGGAGGGAGCCCTGTGTCAGGCTCTTTGCTGAACATGGAACCTAAGATTCTCTCTCTCTCTTTTCCTCTACCTCTCTCTAAAATAAAATAAATAAAATAAAATAAAATAAAATAAAATAAAATAAAATAAAATAAAATAAAATAAATAAAATAAAAACTATATAACATAACAATGTGGTAAACTTTTGAGAACAAAAATTAAACATTTATCTTGTTCTCTCTACCTGATCCCTTCAGAGTTAAGACAAAAGAACTCTTATTGAGTATTGAGTATTCTTATTTTCATGGCAGTGTAGGTATTAGCACAAATTCAATCAGAATTTGCTCTCTTTGTAACAGAACACAATTGGACAACCCATTAGCTTGACTTCTTGGCCTAAAGGGGTGTTTAAAGATCTAATCTGAGATTTCTTATTACCAGACAGTTTTTAAGAAACTAACATTGGATTTGTGGAGCAAACAAAGACCCTTGGATTACCAAAGCTTGGACTTGAATATCATTTTTGAAAATGTGCATAAAGTAACTATTCTGCTGCACTTATATAAATAATGAGCTGAATTTAATGGGACCAGATTCATTTTACAAATAAATTGGTCTTAGGGGCGCCTGGGTGGCGCAGTCGGTTGAGCGTCCGACTTCAGCCAGGTCACGATCTCGCGGTCCGTGAGTTCGAGCCCCGCGTCGGGCTCTGGGCTGATGGCTCGGAGCCTGGAGCCTGTTTCCGATTCTGTGTCTCCCTCTCTCTCCGCCCCTCCCCCGTTCATGCTCTGTCTCTCTCTGTCCCAAAAATAAATAAACGTTGAAAAAAAAAATTTTTAAAAAAAAATAAAAAAAAAAAACAAATAAATTGGTCTTATTATGATTATCTTTGGTAAAAACAAAGTGGTTATAGAGAGAAAAATTATGTTTCAATAGAAAACTATAGTGTACCTGTTATTATATTCTAGTCCTGTTCATTATCTTTGAGGCTTTGTTATCTTTCTGTAAACTGGACTGGATCCTGAATTCTTCTAGTTTCCTCCAACATCTGGCTACAACTTTCCAACCTAACTTTTCCAATTTTCTCTTACCCTTCTGACTTGGAATAAAAACTAAAACTACCCTTTTCCTCAAGTCCTACAACCTAAAGTCAGACAACTTGATATAAACTTCAGAGAAATCACCACAACAGATCATGTACAGACAACCTTCGTGCCTACTTCTATTTCAGGCCACTCAAGAGAGTTCACCAAAATACTCAATGATGTCATCAAAATCATTCAAACTGTAAACCAGGAAAATACAACAGATAGAAATTGCCTCCTCACTCCATTATCTAAAGATGTTTTGAAAAAAATGAAAATAAAACAAAATAAAATAAAGATGTTTTGAGCTCAAATCTAGAAATTTTCTTGACTGGTTGCTCTCCAGATTCAGAAACTGAGTTTGTAATTTGCTCCAAGTGTTAATTTGTATCTTTCTTTAGTTTCAATAGAAATGCCTAATTGCTCACACCATAGAGGCGTAACTTAGATGGAAGCACACCTATAACACTCCTGAAATAAGACATCCTCATGTTTATCTTCGGTGATCATAACATGATTCAATAGGGCAAGGCACTAATGCAATATTAAGAAATGTACTTTCCACCAGATTTAAAAATGTGATCCATTCCAAAAGAAAACATTCCTAGAGACTTAGTTTATTGGAAAGGATACTCACAAAAGACTACAGTTAAATCTCTTCAGGAGAGATCTTATCTTCTGCAAAATCCCTACCATTACAGCAAGAATCTGTAAACTCTTGCACAGCCTTAGACACCCTAACCACTTAACAAGGAGATGCATATGCTGTAACTGGTTAAAAAAAAAAGGTTCCATGGATTAAAAAAAAAAAAAAATTTAAAGTAGGCTTCGTGCCTACTGTGGAGCCCAACACAGGACTCCAACTCACAACCCCAAGATCAAGACCTGACTTGAGATCAAGAGTCGGGCACTTAACTGATTGAGCTATCCAGGTGCCCCGTTTCCACGTTAATAAATTAGGAATTATTACCCCTAATTTAAAAGATCTTAAAGATCCGATGTCAATCTTTCATCAGATAGGTGATGCTTCTTCCACTGATTTATTTAGTGGGTTAAACCTTGGCTCCTGGGAATCTCTCCCAGAATTTTTGAATTTCCATTTCATAGTCATCATATTAACATCCCTAGCTGTAGCAGCGCTGACAACACTGACTCCATCTTTGGCCCTCCATCTTGTTTCTGCTCTTGCAATGACCTCCCTCGGAGCTGTATGTTCCAAGCCCCTTGGAGGTTAGAGTATGCCCTGACTGGAATGCAGAAAGGCTTGCTCTGATCTTCTCTAAAGTGGTACACAGAAGGTACCACTTTAGATAACTAGTAGTGATGACTGATGCACAAAAGGCACCACTTTAGATAACCAGGAGAGATGATCTCGAATAGATGGCGCCACTTTAGATAACTACACTTTGCACCATAATGCCCTTTGCTCTATAAAAGCTGTAAGTTAAGGTTTGGACTGGGTGGAGAATAGCTGCATAGCACCTGGATTGTAATGGGACCGAGGTCCACACAGAAGAGTCAAGACACTCAGGCTTTTCTTTCCAGGGAGCAACTTTATTCATTGTGCCGGCATGGGCTCAATGGGTTTGTACCTGAGAAACTGAGCACCGAGCACAGCGGGGGGTAGCCTTTTATGCAATTTCTACTTCTTTGTCTCCCATAAACGGTGACATATAGACATACAGTCTGATTGGGCGGTCTATGTTACAAAGTCGTGAGGAATGTCACCACGTACACACACATAGCCAGGTTGCCTTCCCTTGAGGTTTTCACCACATTCCTTAGGGAGGGGCTCACCACAGGATCATCTATCCACTGGCTCCCCTTTGTCAGTAAGTCACCCTGAATAAAAGTCTGTGTAAACAGTAATGGAGAGGCTGGCTTCATTTTTCTGCTTCCAAGTGCCTACTCAGTCTGGAGGATACTTTACTGTCCCTCCCCCACCTTTTAACACTAGTGCACTGTATCCTCTCAAGAGTTTTAAATGCCTTTCGGCAGCCACTCACACACCAAATGATAGCCATCAGGATTACACAACTCAAAAAACTCAGTGGTCCCACTGCCCATGTCTTCAATGACTATGCAACTGTTGGTAATGGCAACTACATGACCATACAGCCCAATGACTACATCAATGGGTATACAGTATATTGGGCATACATCAATGGGTATACAGTAACAGTATATCGGCTCACACTTTCAGCTTTCTGAGGGAATGACCCCAAGGGAATAATTTTTAAAATAAAATAAAATAAAATAAAATAAAATAAAATAAAATAAAATAGAGACCATGCTTGAAAATCCCCTAAGCAGACCCAACCAGTTAGGTCACATAAATGAAGCTAAATCTGGTTTATTTCAGAACAAAGTGAAATTTAGCAGGTTATTTCTTGTAAATCCCTCTGATAATCATAAACAAAGTTTATTTAAAAAATTTTTTTAAAACATTTATTTTTGAGAAACAGAGTGAGACAAAGTGTGAGCAGGGGAGGGGCAGAGAAAGAAGGAGACCCAGAATCTGAAGCAGGCTCCAGGCTCTGAGCAAGCGGTCAGCACAGATCAAGATGCAGGGCTGGAACCCACCAACTGTGAGATCACGACCTGAGCCGAAGTCGGGAGGCTCAACCGATTGAGCCACCCAGGCGCCCCAATCATAAACAAAGTTTAAATCATCTTCCTAAAATAGTGTAAGACGACCACTTTTAACCAATCCCTTGAGGTTTTTTAAATTGTAGTAACTAACCAATGTAATAACCAATCACTGCGAAGGATAAACAATATAGTCATTCTCAGTGTATAAGTCATTCTGCAACGACATGCCTCAGATTCTTGTTTCTCCCTCACTAAAATATTTTTATCAAGTAAAGTTCTTTGAAATTTCTTTTGACACTAGGCATCCTTCAAAGGACTTTACATCCGTTAAATTTATTCCTTACTACAATTCTATGAGATACGTACTGTTGTTACACTAATTCGATAAATCAAGAACTCAGGCACAGAGGTTAAGTTACTCTCCGTGGTCACGCAGCTGGTGAACCGCAGCCTGGGAGCTGAACCCAGCAATCGCGGTGACGCAATCACGGAGCCGTGCTGCCTCAAAGAATCAATATCTATCCCAGTTACAGGAACTGGGGGAACTCTGCTGAAGGCTTTTGAGAGCCACATGTAGTGTTTTTGTTGTTATTGTTCTACCAAGGCTTTCAGCTCTCCTCAGAAACAGGTCACTGCCAGCAACTACCAGAGCATCGAGGGTCAAGGCTGACAGAGTTCGGACCACCACCCATCTGGCGGCGCCCGGGGCGGAGGACAGAGGGGCAAGCCTCCCCAGCAGCACACTTGGCACAACTGTCATCTACGAGGAGACAAGTCAGGAACCCAGCAACAGAAACACCAGCGAGCCCTCTTCAGAGGTCCAGAGGTAGAAAGCGGGCGGGGAGGGAGAGCGAGCACAGGGCGGGGCGAAGGGGAGGCGGGGACCGGGTGAACTCACAGATCCAGGAGCTGACTGACCCGCCGCGAGCTAGGCATCGCGGCCGACCAGGGAAGCCTCTTCCGTGGTCCCGGGGCCGCCCAAACGCAGCCAGAGACCGTCCGTCAACTCCTGCCACCCGCGCGACGCGTAGGCCCTCGTGACGTCACACGGCTTCTTCCGGTGACCAGGACGCAGCCACCCTCGGGACTACAGAGGGAAAGAAGAGAAGTGGCTGGAGGTGATAAAATGTAGAGTAGCCCTAAACTCGGTGAGGCACGACGGGAGTTGTAGTTCTTTCACCTCGCGGGCTCCGTTTCCGGGCGGTTTCCCAGTAGTTTTAGCCCTGCGTGCAGCCTGGCCTAGTACGCCTCCGGCGGCGCTTTGCTTGGAGGTTGCTGCTGTTACTGTAGGGATGTGTTTGATGCTGGTCCATGCATTTGGCGACACACCCTGGAGACTCTCTTGGATACGGACACCATTAACGTCAAACGGAGAGTTTTAGAGCAACCAAGAGTGACCACTGTTTACCGAGCACTTTCTCTGAAGCACGCACTGCGCTACGTGCTCTCAATAATTAGCCACATTCATTTAATCCTATAAAGTCGGAATTATTTAGTCTTATTTTACAGATGACACTACAGGCCAACAAAAAAGCTCAGTAAGAATTCCATTATGGTGGTTGGGGGGGGGGGGTGCGCTTATATTCAAATCAGAAGGAATTCCAGAGGGACACCCTTCATTTATCACGCACTGAAGGAGAGTAGAGATCGCGTTGGTGCTGAGGATTCAGTGGTGAACATATGCACCAGACAAGTAGAAGGACAATCAGAATAACTGTTAAACGCTGATATGAAGTTGGTTCTATGTGAGCACCCATGGAAGAGTAGGGAGAACAGGCAGGTAGGAGGGAAAATGGTGGTCTGTTAGGGACTGCAGACGGCTCAGGGTGGCAGCTACGAAGGGGAGTGGTGAAAAATGAGTAGAGCAGGGGTTGGCAAATTTTAAGGGCCAGACAGTAAAGATTTTACGGTTTTGTGGGCCATACAGCCTTGGTCACAGCTACTCAACTTGTAGCTGAAAAGAAGCCATAGACAGTATGAATGGGTAGAGCTGTGTTCCAGTAAAGTTTTTTTTTATGGATGCTGAAGTTTGAATTTCATGTAGTTTTCACTGTCATGAAATATTATTAATATTTTGAATTTTCATATATATATGTATGTATATATAAAAGTTTTGTTTATTTTGAGACAGAGATAGCATGAGTTGGGGAGAGGCAGAGAGAGAAGGGGAGAGAGATAATACCAAACCGGCTCCTCGCTGCCAGGGTGGAGCCGGTCACAGGGCTTGAAACTCAAGAAACTGAGATCATTACCTGAGCCAGAACTGAGGGTCAGACGCTTAACCAACTGAGCCACTCAGCCGCCACATCATATTTTGATTTTTCCAACCGTTAAAAAATGTAAAGGCTTTACATTGGAAACAAAAACGGGCAGTGGGCTGGATTTGGCTGGCTGGTAGTATGTCCTCTCCTGATCCGAAAGCTAAACTGGGGCCTGATGATCTGTGTTATATTAAACAATTTAGGCTTTGGGTGGAGTCATAGATAAGTTTTAAGCAAGGACAGGGCATGCATAGGTAAAATGAGTTTTAGAAAGAACTCTAGCTGTTAAGCATTAAAAACTGTAGAGGTCACAGGTGGAGACCAGATAGGAGTCTTTTGATGACAGCTTAAGTTAAAGTAGTAACAGTGGAATGGATGGACAGATTTGAGAGGTAATAGAAGTAGAACTGATAGGATACAGAGATTGGTGGGGATGAGGGAAAGTGAAGACTCAAGGCTAATTTCTAGGCTTTGGGATTGGAGAATTATGTGGTGTATGGTGGTGCTATTTATTGAGCTGAGAGGATTACAGGAGCTTTTTGAAGAGAGGAGGGTATTTAAATGTTGGACATGTGGATTTTGAAGTATCTATGGAAAATGTAGGCATGGAGCTTTAGATCTGCAAATTGTGCTGGTTTGCTTATAAAGACGAGATTGAGGGGTGCCTGGGTGGCTCAGTTGGTTAAGCCTCTGACTTCGGCTCAGATCATGATCTCATGGTTCCGTGGATTCGGGCCCTGTGTTGGGCTCAGTGCTGACAGCTCAGCCTGGAGCCTGCTTCCGACTCTGTGTCTCCCTCTCTCTCTCTGCCCCTCCCCCACTCACGCTCTGTGTCAAAAATAAATAAACGTTGAAAAAAATTAAAAACATAATAAAGAGATCGAATAGCAATGACAATACATCCATTTACTTATTAATACAGTAATTTTTTTGGAAGAATTCTCTGCTGTTCTGGGAGCCAATTACACCTTGGAAGACCATAAGAGAGCTTGACAGAGCAGATAAGGTAGGACTTCATGGTCTTTTCTGTCTGTTGAGTGCTGCACATCTGTCCATCTAGGTCTTCCCACTGATTACTTGATTCTTCAAGCCCAGGAAAATATAGGCCATGTCCCATCATTATGAGATGTTCAGCCCTGGGTGCCTGAATTGTTCTCAGTGGTCAAAGGAAGTCATCACAGCTGTTTTTTTGTTTTTTTCTTTTAAGAAAATAATTATATAATGAGATAGGATGACAAAGTTCTAGTTGTTTCTAGCCAGTTATTTTAAAGGTCAAAGATGTATAAGCCCTCATGATATGAAAATTATTAGAACTATTTTGATTATGATTTCCTGCAGCTTTTAGGACCTGTGGTGTCTACAAACCAGCCTCTCCGGTATTTAGCATACTGTATCAAGAATTATTTTGAGTCTCCACTGAATAAGATAGATCTGATATACATTGTGATTGCCTTGACAGTTTTATTTCATCCCTTCCTCTTTTCTTTTCTTTTCTTTTCTTTTCTTTTCTTTTCTTTTCTTTTCTCTTTCCTTCTTCTTCTTCTTCTTCTTCTTCTTCTTCTTCTTCTTCTTCTTCTTTTTTTTATTTTTTATGGCAGCCATGTGGTTTGGAGAACTGACCCCATCTTCAGAGGTGGGTCTAGATTAGGCTAATCAGTGATTACTGCAGTAATTGATTCAGGGATAAGCAGACCTTAATCAAGAAATCACCATATTCCCTCAGCCACAGAGTTGGGTTCAAAAATAGGCCCAGGGGCATGTGACTTATTTGGGACCAATAAGAAGCAGGAAAAGTTTTGCTGCAGATTTTTGAGAAAGAAGTTTTCTCAAATTTATGATAATGCTTCATGAATCAACATTCTCAGCATTGTCACGTTGAATGAAGTTGTATAGAGGAAGACAGATTAAGAGAATCAAGGGAGAGCAGCTAGGGTCCTGATTGAACTGTGCCTGAACACCACCCTTCCTCTCTATTATGAAATGACAAAAATAAAACAATTTGGCATCGAGTTTGATGTTCTTTACTTGAGGGAAAAACATCCATAGATTGAGGGAATCAGTGCCCCACAAGCAGTGGAGCACTCTTGCCATGGGATGTTTGGGCAGGAATGCGTTTATAGTGTTTGAAGCAGCAACAAGGAAACAGGGAATGATTGGCTAGTGGGTCAGGGATTTCCTTATAAGGTTAGTATGTTAATCAGGGAATAAAGAAAGAATATTTGGCTTAAGCTGATTGGCTGGAGTTGCGTATCTGAGAACAAATAAATCATTGCAGATTCTTAGCAGTTGGGGATTGGCTGACTGGATATACCAAACTCTGGTGAAGCAGAGCATTTACAGAAACATGAAAGTTAGAATCCAAGTTTTGTTTTGCTGATGTGGCAACCTGGGCAGGGGTGGCTTTATTTTGTGCTGTCACACAATTCAGTTAATTCCCTTTGTTGTTGATAAAATTAGTGGAGTTGAATTTTCTGTTTCTTGCTGCCAAAACATCCTAACAATTATGTATCCATAACAGGAGTCACCAGCATATAAATGGAAATTGAAGGTATGGGAATTGATGAGCTCACCCATCAGATGTATATAGAGTGAGAACAACAAGTCCTTGGAGAGGCAGCTGAGAACAGCAATTGACTGGCAATTGACACTGAGAAGGAACAGCCAAAAAGGTAGGGGAAAAAACCAGTGGGCTGCTACAGAAGATAAACATGAGCAAAATTGTCACATGCTGAAGAGATGTCAAGTGGAATAACACTTGAAGGTAGTTTAGCCACAGGAAGGTCATTGAGGGTCCTTGAGGTGATGGTAAAGGATGTAGTCTGATGTAACGGGAGGAATGAAGGGGAAGAGAAGAAATAAACACACAAGTAGCCCAGCTCTCACTTACAATACATACTTGTTCAAATGAATTGCTGCTTCTATTAAGAGTCATGCTGAGAAGAAAAGGAGATTGTATAAAGGTAGAGCTCTTTGAATTTTTTTTTTAATGTTTATTTTTGAGACAGAGGGAGACAGAGTGTGAGTGGGGGAAGGGCGGAGAGAGAGGGAGACACAGAATCTGAAACAGGCTCCAGGCTCTGAGCTGTCAGCACAGAGCCTGATGCAGGGCTTGAACCCACGAACCATGAGATCATGACCTGAGCCGAAGTTGGACGCTTAACCAACTGAGCCACCCAGGTGCCCCATAGACCTCTTTTTCAAAGAAGGTAAAATGGGATATTTCAGGATGATTTATGGACCTTCTAGGTGTCAAACATGGTAAATACTTACATGATCTCATGTAGTCAATCATCAACCAAGTCTGAGATATCATGCTATCTTATAGATGAAGGTGAGCCTTACCTAAATAAATAGCCGTGTCAGACTCCAAAGACCATGCTCTTCCTACTTTATTTGGGTGCTCAGGAGAGGTTTATTTTATTTTTGAGAGACAGAGAGAGAAAGCTGGGGAGGGGCAGAGAGAGAGGGAGCCAGAAGATCTAAAGCTGGCTCTTCATTGAGAGTGGAGAACCCAATGCGGGGCTCAAACTTATAAACCATGAGATCATGACCTGAGCCTGAGTCAGACGCTTAACCAACTGAACCACCCAGGAACCCCAGGAGAGAGGTTTATGATGCATCCAATGCCATCAATATAACTTGCAAAACTCCTTTTCAAAAGGTTATTAGGAATTTCAAGATGGTGATAGCAGAGCATTAAACCAAGGCTGGGCCTTGTATGACTGCATCATTAGTTTGCCCATGAAGCTGGCCTTGGTATATCCAGTACTTACCAAGAAAATCAGTTCCAACTACTGTCTATCCAGTAACTCTTTGTCAGAATAAAATTCAGAAACAAATGTGAACACAGGGAAACTTTTTTAAAAAGTTGAAGTACAGTTGACATATTAGTTTCAGGTGTACAACATGGTGAGTTGACAGTTATGTACATTACGCAGTGCTCATCATAAGTTGTCATTATACAAAGTTATTATAATATTATTGACTGTATTCTCGATGCAGTACTTTTCATCCCTGTGACTTATTTTATTTTATCTTTTATAACTGCAGGTTTCTACCTCTTTATCCCCTTTACCTATTTTGCCTTTTATTTGCTAATAAATAAGCGAACCAGGCCTTCAGAAGTAGTGGCTCATCTCATAGAATAGGAGGAATTTATAGCTCTGATGATATGGCGGATATTTATAGCTCAGATATGGCAGTTGACAGTTCAGATTGGATAAGAACAAGATGTTCCTGTCTTTTTGAAAGGAAAACAGGATGTTCTTATTTTTGTGGCTTATCTCAAGAGGCAAAGATTTCAGGATTTCCTGTTAGTAAATGCTTTTGGGAGGTTCCTGTTATTCATGGTTTATCTTGGAATGCAAGGTTGTTAGGAATAAGTCTTTTCTGGTGCATGGTAAGTGGTTTGTGGACAGTGCTAGGCTAAGGGCAGGATGTCATTTTCTCATTCTCCCCTCTTTGCTTGCTGTGCCCACTTTGCTATAGTTTCCTCTAGCTCGAAACCTCTTCCATTTCCTACCCTAGCTACCATATAAAGAAAACTTTATATGTTTCTTTGGGCAGGTTACATGTTTCTCTGGGCAGGTTATATAAGAATAATAAGCAACATTACTTTCCTTAAATTATGCTACTTATTCCTAGTGTGTTTGTGTATGTAAAGAAAAATATATAATAAATGTATATAGATAAAATGATTAAGTATACCTTATGCTATGTATGTATGTGTATATATGTACACACACAGTTGACCCTTGAACAACATGGATTCGAACTATGCAAGTCTACTTATATGTGGATTTTTTCCAGTACTGCAAATGTATTTTCTTTATGTTTTTCTTCACTTATAATATTTTCTTCTCTCTAGCTTATTATAAGAATACAGTATATAATACATACAACATATAAAATATGTGTTAATTAACTTTATGTTTTGGTAAGCCTTCCTTCTGGTCAACAGTAGACTATTAGTAATTGAGTTTTGGGGGAGTCAAAAGTTATATGTGAATTTTCGACTGCATAGTGGGTAGGGGCATGTAACCCCCACATTATTCAAGGGTCAACTGTATATGTGTGTTTTTGTGTGTGTGCATGTGTGTGCATGTATGTAGTAAATCTTGGGTCATTTATAAGTATGTATAGGCATACAAGTAGATAGAAATAAATTGTTGTTCAAATCATCTTTACATGTCATATCAAAATATAAGAACAGGCTATGAGTTAGGGTCTTCACTCTTAAACCATATTATATATTTTTTTTAATTAAAATTTTTTTTGGGGGCGCCTGGGTGGCTCAGTTGGTTAAGCGACCGACTTCAGCTCAGGTCATGATCTCGCGGTCCGTGAGTTCGAGCCCCGCGTCGGGCCCTGGGCCGATGGCTCAGAGCCTGGAGCCTGCTTCCAATTCTGTGTCTCCCTCTCTCTCTGCCTCTCCCCCATTCATGCTCTGTCTCTCTCTGTCTCAAAAATAAATAAACGTTAAAAAAAATAAATAAATAAAATTTTTTTTTTAATGTTTATCCATCCTTGAGAGAGAGACACACACAGTGTGAGCAGGTGAGGGGCAGAGAGAGAGGGAGACACAAAATCCAAAGCAGGCTCCAGGCTCTGAGCTGTTAGCACAGAGTTTAATGCGGGGCTCGAACCCACGAATGGTGAGATCATGACCTGAGCTGAAGTCAGATGCTCAACTGACTGAACCACCCGGGTGCCCCATATTGCTTATATATAGATTCAAAATAGCAATTGCTCTTCTAAAGTTAATTTTCAGCTCAGTATAATCTATACTTCATCATCCACTGTTAACTCCAAATCTTCAGTTGGGTGTTAGTGTCCAGACCAGGTGCAAGATGGAACCACTTATGCTAAGCCCACATCAGCAAACTGGAATTTAACTAAGTTTCTATGCTTGGCTCTCCCAGAAAAAGTGGGCCTAGGCCAACCAATCAGTGCTTGCCTGTCTGCACAAGTTATCTAACCTGGCTCCAAGACTCTCCTTTGCTCCATATAAGGGAAGTAATCCTGCTTTAACCAATCAGCAAATGCCTAGTACAACTTCCTTGTTCCTTCTCACTTTGGTCTGTAAATATTTCTTGCCTTGTACAGCTCTTTAGAGCTTTCTATCTGCTAGACTGGATGTTGCCCCATGTATGAGTTGCTGAATAAAAGCCTACTAGATCATTAAATTATGGAAAAAACTCTGTTAACAGTATCAGTGATAATTGTGAATACTTGCTGGGTGGCTAGAATAGTGCCTTGCACACAGTGAGTATTTTACAGGGTCAAACTCATTTCACCCTCAAAGAAATCCTCGTTGGCAGGTATTTTTACTGTTATCATACCGATTTTCCAATTGAGGAAACTGAGGCCCAAAGAGATTAAGAAACATGCCCAAGTCCATGTGGCTAGTCAGTGGTAGAGCTGGGATTTGAAGCCAAACAATTAGGCTGCAGAGCTGGGTTCTTAAACAATACTATATTGTTGCCTCTACCTCTTTAAAATAAAAACTCTTGGGGCGCCTGGGTGGCGCAGTCGGTTAAGCGTCCGACTTCAGCCAGGTCACGATCTCGCGGTCTGTGAGTTCGAGCCCCGCGTCAGGCTCTGGGCTGATGGCTCAGAGCCTGGAGCCTGTTTCTGATTCTGTGTCTCCCTCTCTCTCTGCCCCTCCCCCGTTCATGCTCTGTCTCTCTCTGTCCCAAAAATAAATAAAAACGTTGAAAAAAAATTAAAAAAAAAAATAAAATAAAAACTCTTGATAGTTCTTCATAATTATAAAATATAGTTATCAGAGATTTAGAACTAAAAGGTATCTTAGCTATAACTCATTCCATCATCTTAATTTTGTAGTTTCAGGAAAGTTGACTGATTTCTCAAGATTTCTGAGCAAAGATGGAACTAGAATATGTTTGCTAATTCCTTGCCCAGTACATTTTCTATTTCTCAGCTCTTTAGGTTGTAACTCTAAAGGGGGCTGAAAACAAACAGAATAAAGAGAAGCCAGATGAGTGACTACTTTATTATCCTACCATGTGCAGGTTATTTCCAGGTAGGAATGTCCTTAATTGGTGCCAATGTGAAAATATTTAATTTCTTTTTGTATCTCATACTGTGTCTTACTCTAAATTGGAAACAGCAGCGCCCACGCTCATGAATTCTTGTGCATTGTTAAAATTTTCCATTGACTGAGCCCTTGATTTAATTTGTATATAGGCTATAGACCCAGGTCTTTCAAATTCTCAGGAGTTTGAGGCATAAAATGTATGACTCAGGATTCTTGCAGGAAACAGCTGCAGAAGTTCAAACAGGATAGGCAAGGAGATATTAATAAAGAGGCTGTTTATAAAGATGTGGGCAGAATTTAGGGAATGCAGGGATAAGGGTGGTTCAATACCTAGACTAGCAATAGCAGGAAGCCCTTACCTCTCCTAGTCCTGAAAGCCAGGAAGGGAACAGTTACCAAAACCAGAGAGAGTGGCCATAGGTGAGGCCATCTAGAAGCAGCTATGGCTTTTGGGCCAGTAAAGGGATGTAGTCAGCCTATGGCAACACAGCTGGCAGGGATCCTGGAAGAGTAAATGCTCTAACCCCATTCTTCATCCCCCTTTAGATCTCCTGGTGCTTCTGTGCATAGTTTCAACACACCCAGAAATTAGAGGTGCAGTCTACAAAAGTCAGCCTCTTAGAGCCCAAAGTAGAGAAGGATAGAGTGGAAAATAACGGATTCATAAGCCACTGATTTTTATATAAAATAATTAAATATCACAAACATTTTGAAAATTAATAAGTAATAGCTTAGTCTGAGCCGAAGTAATAATTGTTGTAGTTTTATGACAGTGAGAGGGATGGCAATCGTGGTCTTTAATCATGATGCTGAGAGCCATTGCAACAGCAGCCTAAGTGTTGCCTTTTCCTAGTTAGCTTCATTATTTTTATAAAACTATACAATTCGTAACCCACATTTATTAGTCATTTGCAATAGAATCTAGTGCCTGTTATT